GTTAAGTTGGTTTAACCGCTTAGAAACGTTCGGGATCGTCTTCGACCTGCGTCTAACAAACCCTGACGGAAAAAGAAGACCCACCCTTATACCGGGAATGTGAAGTGTATCACAGTACAATCATAAGCTTCTCTAAAAAACATAAACCACCACCAAATCCTTCCTGTCTATAACAAACTAATTCGAATAAGAAATGGACGATTGTTGACGAAATTCTCGCGATCCCAGCTAGGCAGCAGCGCGACTCTCGTTAGGCAGCAGCACGATCCCAGCTAGGCAACAGCGCGACTCTCGCTAGGCAGCAGCGCGATCCCAGCTACCTAGGCAGCAGCGCGATTCCTAGGCAGCAGCTACCTAGGCAGCAGCGCGATCCCAGCTAGGCAGCAGCGCGACTCCCGCTAGGCAGCAGCTCTTTCCTTGCTAGTAGCAGCGCGATTCCGCCACGTAGCCCGCGACCCAGCCTCTTAGCCCGCGATTCAGCTGCCCAGGCCGCGATCTAGCCGCCCAGCCCGCAATTTAGCCGCCCAGCCCGCAATTTAGCCGCCCAGCCCGCGATCTAGTCGCCCAGCCCGTGATCTAGCCGCCTACGCCTCGATCTAGCCGCCTAGCCCGCATTTTAGCCGCCCCGCCCGCGACCTAGCTGCAAAGCAGCGATCTTGCTGACCAACCAGTGATTTAGCCGCTTAGCCCGCGAACTGCAGGTAGCAGCGCGCAGCTGGGCAGTGGAACCCGCGCCGTAACAGCGAAATCCGCACCGCAGCAGCGAACATCGCGCCGTAGCAGCGAAATCAACGCCGTAGCAGCGAAATTCGCGCCGGGGCAGCGAAATCCCCGTCGTAGCAGCGACATCCACGCCTAGGCAGCAAAACCCACGATGAAGCAGCGACATCCGCGCCGTAGCAGCGAAATCCGCGTTGTAGCAGCGAAATCCGCGCCGTAGCAGCGAAGCCCGCGCCGTAGCGTCAAAGTGCGCCCCGTAGCAGCTAAGTGCGCACCGTAGCAACGAATTGCGCGCCGTAGCAGCGAAATCCGCGCCTTAGCAGCGAAACCCGCGCCGTAGCAGCGAAGTCCGTGCCGTAGCAGCGAAATCCGCCACGTAACAGTGAAACCCGCACCGTAGCAACGAAATCCGCGCCGCGGCGGAGGGATCAGCGCCCAGGCAGCTATACTCGCGCGTAGGAGCGCCATTGCAGTGAAGCTCGCGCCTAGGCAGCGACTACCGCGTGTAGGGAGGACCACAAAGCGAGACCCGCGCCTAGGTACCAACACCTGCAGGTAGGAGCGTCCAGCGTATAGGGGAGTCTCCGTGCGCCAACGACGCCAAACACCTTCGACTCACCCGGACTGCGAGCCTTATATCGAAGGCGGGAGGTGCCCCTCCAGCGCCCCCTGCAAACAGCTTACGCCATGACCAACGATCCAGACCCCCCAGACCGAGGGAGGAAGATCATCGCGAGGATTGGCCACAAGAGACCCAGGGAGGCAGCGCTGAGTATGCAATACCCACAACTCTGTCGCCTCCACCACGAGGATGCACTCTGCCTTTTTGGCAAGCCCAGCAAGCGACAAAGGTATAGACCCCTCTCGACAGAGGGGGGGACAGAGGAACCACCCAAAGACACTCTCGGCGGCTTCGTAGGCGGCAGCGACACCATCTCCAACCAGGACCTGGACGTGACGGAAGAGGGCGAGTGCGGTCATGGGGCGCACAGGCAAGGTACCGGTGATGACGCGGCGATGGCTGCATGGGAGGCACACCGCCGGCGACTGCAGGAGTCTCATGATAGGCGGCGGAGGGCCCTAGGAAATCCTTCGGCACGCCCAGCCCTCACAGCTCCGCGCGGGCCTCGCTTGGCCCAAAGGCAGGAACAGAGACGGAGAGCCCAGGCGGAAGGGCAGCAGTGGAGTCCAGCGGGGACACATCCCTCGAGGCAAGAGGGGGGGCAGCAGAACTGGCTGTTGGGGGAGGCCCGGAAGCCACAGGCAAGGGAGCAGCAAATGCGGCCGGCGGGAGGGGAGCAGGAGCTGCCGGCGAGAGGGGAGCAGGAGCTGCCGGCGAGAGGGGAGCTGGAGCTGCCGGCGAGAGGGCAGCAAGAGCCGCAGGCAAGAGGGCGGCAGGCGCGCTCGGCAGGCGAGCAGCAGGTACTGCCGAAGGGAGAGCAGCAGGAGCGGCTGGCGGGAGGGCAGCTGGAGCTGCCGGCGGGGGGGCAGCAGGAGCTGCAGGCAGGAGGGCAGCGGGAGGTGCCAGCGGGAGGGCAGCAGGAGGTGCCAACGGGAGGGCAGCAGGAGCTGCCAGCGGGAGGGCAGCAGGAGGCACCAATGAGAGGGCAGTAGGAGGTGCCGGCGAGAGGGCAGCAGGAGGTGCCGGCGAGAGGGCAGTTGGAGGTGCCGGCGAGAGGGCAGCAGGAGCTGCCGGCTGGGGGGCAGCAAGTGGTAGAAGTGGAGATGTCCGAGCTACAGCCAGAGGTGCAGCAGGACCAATCGGGGAACCGTGCCCGGCCACACGCAGGAGGGCAGCAGGAGCCGGCCGGGGTAGAGTAGCGTGAGCTGCCAAGGGAAGAGCAGCAGGAGCTGCCGGCAAGGGAGCAGCAAGCAAGGGAGCAGGAAGCGGTAGAAGTGGAGATGGCCGAGCTACAGCCAGAGGCACAGCAGGACCAATCGGGAAACCAGGCCTGGCCACAGGCAGGAGGGCAGCAGGGGCCGTCTGGGGGAGAGCAGCTGGAGCTGCCAAGGGAAGAGCGGCAGAAGCCGCCGGGGGTGGGGCAGCTGCCGGCAAGGGAGCAGCAAGCGGTGGATGTGGAGATGGCCGAGCTAATGCCAGAGGTGCAGCAGGACTAATCAGGGAGCCAAGTCCGGCTGCAGGCAGGAGAGTAGCAGGAGCTGCCGGGGGAGGAGCGGCAGGAGCTGCCAACAGGAGGGCAGCTCGAGCTGTCGGGGGGAGGGCAGCAGGAGCTGTCGGAGGGGGAGCGGCGGGAGCTGCCGGCGCGGGGGCAGCTGGAGGTCGCTAGTGCGGACACTACAAGCCAAGCGAAGAGAACCCGGGCACGGGTCCGAGGCGGGAGACGACACGCTCGTAAGACGCAAGGGCGAACTGGAAGCGGAGCTGCTGCACAGCAGGCGGAGGGGCAGCCGGGGGTGACCGAGACACCCCCGAGAACTCCGCGGGTGGGGGGGCAGCCCTGGGTGCCCGGGGCGCCCCAAGGAGAGCAGCAGCCAGGGGAGCTGCCGGGGGTGACCGGAGCACCCCAGGGAGAGCAACAGGCAGGGGGGCAGCCGAGAGTGCCCGGAGCACCCCAGGGAGTGCAGCAGGCAGGGGGGCAGCCGGGGGTGCCCGGGGCACCCCAGGGAGTGCAGCAGGCAGGAGGGCAGCCGAGGGTGCCCGGGGCACCCCAGGGAGTGCAGCAGGCAGGGGGGCAACCGGGGGTGCCCGGGGCACCTCAGGGGGTGCAGCAGGCAGAAGGGCAGCCGAGGGTGTCCCGGGCACCCCAGGGAGTGCAGCAGGCAGGAGGGCAGCCGGGGGTGCCTCGGGCACCCCAGGGAGTGCAGCAGGCAGGGGGGCAGCCGGGGGTGCCCGGGGCACCCCAGAGAGTGCAGCAGACAGGGGGGCAGCCGGGGGTGCCTGGGGCACCCGAGAGAGTGCAGCAGGCAGGAGGGCAGCCGAGGGTGCCCGGGGCACCCCAGGGAGTGCAGCAGGCAGGGGGGCAACCGGGGGTGCCCGGGGCACCCCAGGGGGTGCAGCAGGCAGGAGGGTAGCCGAGTGTGCCCGGGGCACCCAAGGGAGTGCAGCAGGCAGGGGGTCAGCCGGGGGTGCCCGGGGCACCCCAGGGGTTGCAGCAGGCAGGAGGGCAGCTGGGGGTGCCCAGGGCACCCCAGGGAGTGCAGCAGGCAGGGGGGCAACCGGGGGTGCCCGGGGCACCCCGGGGGGTGCAGCAGGCAGGAGGGCAGCCGAGGGTGCCCGGGGCACCCAAGGGAGTGAAGCAGGCAGGGGGTCAGTCGGGGATGCCCGGAGCACCCCAGGGAGTGCAGCAGGCAGGAGGGCAGCCGGGGGTGCCCGGGGCACCCCAGAGAGTGCAGCAGGCAGGGGGGCAGCCGGGGGTGCCCGGGGCACCCCATGGAGTGCAGCAGGCAGGGGGGCAACCGGGGGTGCCCGGGGCACCCCGGAGGGTGCAGCAGGCAGGAGGGCAGCCGAGGGTGCCCGGGGCACCCCAGGGAGTGCAGCAGGCAGGGGGTCAGTCGGGGGTGCCCGGAGCACCCCTGGGAGTGCAGCAGGCAGGAGGGCAGCCGGGGGTGCCCGGGGCATCCCAGGGAGTGCAGCAGGCAGGAGGGCAGCCGAGGGTGCCCGGGGCACCCCAGGGAGTGCTGCAGGCAGGAGGGCAGCCGAGGGTGCCCCGGGCACCCCAAGGAGTGCAGCAGGCAGGAGGGCAGCCGAGGGTGCTCGGGGCACCCCAGGGAGTGCAGCAGGTAGGAGGGCAGCCGAGGATGCCTGGAGCACCCCAGGGAGAGCAGGAGGCTGGGGGGCAGCCGGGGGCGACCGGAGCACCCCAGGGAGAGCAGCAGCTAGGGGGGCAGCCGGGGGTGACCCGAGCACCCCACGGCGAGCAGCAGGTAGGGGAGCAGCCGGGGGTGACCGGAGCACCCCAGGGAGTGCAGCAGGCAGGAGGGCAGTCGATGGTGCCTGGGGAACCCCAGAGAGTGCAGCAAGGAGGAGGGCAGGGAGTGCAGCAGGCAGGAGGGCAGCCGAGGGTGCTCGGAGCACCCCAGGGGGAGCAGCAGGTAGGGGGGCAGCCGGGGGTGACTGGGGCATCCCAGGGAGTGCAGCAGCCAGGGGGGCAGCCGAGGGTGCCCTGGGCACCCCAAGGAGCACAGCAATCAGGGGGGCGATCGATGGACGACCAGGAGCAACAGTTGGAGGAGTGGTGTCGACTTTTGGAGCTCGATACCCCCATGGCAACTGTGGAGGAGTCCGAGGCGGACGAAGCACCTCGCATGCCGCCTTCCCCATGCCCCCGCTTTCCGTGCGACACGTGTTTCCACACTTTCGCTACGCGGGGGGCCGCTGCGAACCACATGAGGGTATGCCGAGCGGCGGAGGCGGAGAGGCGCGCACAGGCTCTCGGCTCGATTCCGTCTCTGGTGGAGACCGACATGCAGGAGCGATCGACACCGCGGGAATTTGGGGAGGAGGCGTGCGCTGGGGTTACGTCATGGAAAGGGAAACATTTTTCAGCGTGGAGGCGGTTGGAGGGAGGACAGTGCGCCGGATCCCACAGCGGGCCAGGTCGGGGGTTTTAGACGCGCTCTATTGCATCCTTAAGCGCTTGAAGAGCCAGCCGGGAGATGAAGCCGCTACCCTCCTACTCTTGGCGTTTCCGCGCCTCATCCTAGCCATGCCTCCCAAGCCAGGCATAGGTCAGAAGGCGCTGATCACAGAGCGGTTGGGTGCGTTCTGGGAGGGGAGGTGGCGGGAGCTGTTCGATTCTGCCATGGTGGCGGCGCGGCGAGCAGTTTGCCCACTTTCCTACACTTGCTCTGACCAGGACCCGGATGCCATCCGCCTGTCACGGAGCCGATCTCGGTGCAAAGTGGGGGAGTGGAGCCGTGGATTGGCCTGCCTTACAGCAGGGGAGTTGGCTCGACCGTCTGAGGTCATGGTGCAGTCGCTGCGAGAGAAGCACCCAGCTAGCGCTGGCGAGGTACCACAGTGGGTCCGCGATTTCACTATCGATACTGCTCAGCGGCCTTCACTCACGACCGACATCCTGGCCAGAGCTATCCATACAGCCGCTCGAGCTTCAGCAGCAGGGCCATCGGGGTGGGTCACAGAGCATCTCCGCGACACCTTCCTCACTGAACCTTCCTGCCTTTCCCACTTGTTGGAAGTGTTCAACCAATGGGTGGCAGGACAGGTCCCCGAGCGGGCTCGGCCGTGGCTCGCCGCATCCAACCTAGTCGGGCTTTCCAAGCTTAACGGCGACGTCCGGCCGATGGCGATCGGGGAGGTGCTTCCTCATATCCTTGCTCGAGCTCTCTGCATCTCGCTCCGCCCTGCAATGGTTTCCTACTTCCTGCCGTGCAACCAGCTGGGAGCGGGCACCAGTGTCGGGGCGGAGATTCTCACTCACTCTTTCCGGTCAGCGCTGGCCACTCACCCCGACTGGTGTGCGCTACAGATAGACGTCGCAAACGCCTTCAATTCGTTTCACCGTCATGTGATGTTCGATGGGCTGGGGGAGTCGCCTTTCTCAGGGATGATCCCATTCTTGCGTGTCTTTTATGGGACACCTAGCGACCTGTACCTCCGAGTAGGCCCTTTCGTACAGAGCCTCGAGTCAGCACGGGGATCGAGGCAGGGGGACCCGCTTGGCCCTTTTCTTTTCGCGTTCACTCAGCAGCAGGTGATGGAGCCGGTTATTAGGGAGTTCAAAGACCTGCTTTTCCTCAGCTATGCAGACGATACCTATATTTTGGGGCCAGCGGCTAGGATTCTGGAGGCTTTTGGGGTGCTTTAGGAGCGGTTGGAGTGGGTGGGGCTGGAGGTGCTGGCGCACAAGTGCCGGTTTTGGGAGCGCGAGGGCAAGGAGGTGGAGTGGGCACTGCCATTGGGGATGCACCGGGTGGATGAGGGTCTTACTGTGGTGGGCGCGCCTATTGGAGAGGAGGTTTGGGAGGTGGTCTGGCTACGGGAGCGGCTTCGACAGTTGCACGCGCCACTGCCATGGCTCCCCTTGCTCGACCACCCCCAGATGGCTTCACACCTCCTCGCCATTGCAGTTTCAGCGCGGCCGATGTACCTCGCCCGGACTATGCCGCCGCGTCCCGAGGTAGTTGAGGCTTTTAGGGATTGGGACAGCTGTTTAGAGGATTGCTTTGAGCAGCTTTTTCCACCTGGCACTTGGGAGCAGGACCCCGACCGGTCTAGGCGCGCACGCATACAGCTGCATCTCCCTGTGCGTCTCGGAGGGTTCGGGATCCGGGCGGCGGCCTCTTGACCCGTGGTTTGTCAAGGCTCTTGAGCAGCTGCCAGCGCCTATCCGCCAAGAGATACCGGGCTTACCTCTGTGTGTAGCGGCCCCTCCTATTCGGCTTTTCCAGGCGCGGCAGCGGCAGTTAGCTGTAGAGGAGCTCCAGGCACTGCGCCGCTTGGCTCATGACGATGCCACCTTGGCCCGTTTCACATCCCTTCAGGGCCCGGGGGCAGGTGCATGGGTTTCGGCGGTTCCGGCTCACTCAGATCTCACATTCACTGCAGCTGAGTGGGGCATTGCTGCTGCTATACGGCTCTGCCTCCCAATCCAGCAGCTGCAGGTGGCGGGGAGGTGTGTTTGTGGCACAGCGTTTGTTGACCCAGCAGGGCCGCACCATGCCCTGAGATGCAGGCATCAGCATGGTCCTTCTCGGGTGCATGATGAGGTGAAGTTTGCGGTGGCGAAGATCTCTAAGGCGTTGGGGGGGGGGGGGGGGGGGTGGTGGTGACAATGGAGGATAGTGTGATGCTGCATGGGAAGCGGGTTGATGTGGCGGTGCGACGTCCAATGGCTGGAGAGGCTCACGCCCTAGAGATCAGCGTCGCAGGCCCGCTATCGCTGTCTCCATCACTGTTGGGACAGTGCGGGCGTCAAATAGGTGTGGCGGCAAGGGAGTGGGAGCGCCGCAAAACGAGTGACTACGCGCCTCTGCTTGCACGCAACCGGGGCGTGCAGTTCACCCCTTTGATAGTTGAGACGTGGGGGTGTCTCGGCGGTCGTTTTCAGTGGTGGCTTCGTCAGCAGGGAGTTGCGCACGTGGGACTAGCTGTGTCGCAGGGGGCTTGTCGAGAGGACGACTCTGTGTTTTCGGCTTATCTTTTAGGGTCACTGAAGGCGCTCATCGGGGTGGCGTTACAACGGGCGCAAGCCCGTGTCATCCTGCTTCGAGCAGCGTCTTCCATGGGGGGGATTAACGTAGATTTGGTGGATCGGGAGAGGGACGATGTCGATGTGGAAGGCGGGGCTCTCTGGGTGGAGGCCACGTACATGGTCGATACGTTGATGTGATTGAAGGGGGGGGGGGGGGGGGGGGGGGGGATGGGGTGTGGGATGGGATGTCTTGATGGGGTGTCTTGACTGGGCGTTTTGATTGGGTATCTTTAGTGGGGGTTTTATGTGTGCTGCATTTGGGTTCTTTTTGGCAGTTTCATTTTCCTTCTCCCTTTCTTTCTTCATTCCCTTTCCTTTTCAGAAACACTATGGCGGGCAAGGTTTAGGTCCAGTGGGTTTCACGAATGGCTGTAGGTGCTTCGGTGTCTATGCAGTAAACTGTGTGTTTCTGTTGAAAAAAAAAATTCTCACAGATGGGTGTGGTTGTTTAGGGTAAGTTTATTCTTGTTGTGTTCATATGATTTGGTTTTAGGGTGACTGAAACTCTGAACCAAATCCTTCCTGTCTATAACAAACTAATTCGAATAAGAAATGGACGAGACAACTGATAGGATGACTCTGATGGGCAATGGGAACTGGCCATCGTCATCCAAGTAAAACTCATGCTTCCTAGATGCGCTACACTACAACGGCAGGAACCTACTTTAGCCATCCTGGTGGACCATTATCTGCAGTTTGGCGCAATAGCCTATGCCCAGCTATGAAGCGTTCTCAGGCGGCGCATGAGAGATACACGGACTTGTAACCACTCCAGTAAACAAAGGGCAACACGGAGAGAAAGTTAGCGAGTTAGCAAGCCCCCCAGAGCACGGTTGGATGCACCAGATGAGTCAGAGGCGCGCTGTATAAATTAAACAACGTAAATGTGCATGGAGCTTGAACTGGGGAGGTGGAGAAGAAAGGGATGATGAACACACCCTGCTGGGGCGAACTTAAGGGGAGGGCAGAAAGCGGCCATAGAAAACCTGCGACACCTGCTCACGACATGACATTTTTCGATCGCTCGATCCAGCAGCGACACCTGCTCACGGCAGTGACTTTTTTTTTTTTTGTCTCTTCACTCGGATTTTAGAGGGACGAAACTCACCGGTTGGTCGGAGTGTGGGCCTCAAACTTCTTATTTTTACCGAACGCCCAGATGATGTTGTGAGAAGATGTGAACGAGAATGAATGACTAAGGAATGGAAGTGATACAAATATGCAACCCTAGAAATGTGTACCCCATATAGGCTACCCCACTATAGCCTACACAATATTATAATTTGACACACCCCCATAGGCAAAGTGGGGGAGAACAAGGGGTCACAAGACCACTCAGGCAAAGCAGACAAAGCTCAGGGTGGATCACAACGTCACCACACAGTCCGAGCACAAGGTCAAGGCCACAAGGCCAGTTCACATGCAGGAGTACACATATATATATATAAGGCTAAACAAGCAAGAGCAGGTATATATATATGTAAGAGTACAAGCAAGGTCAAGGGGTGAGCAAGTGAGGCAAGACAGGCACAAGACCCAGCTGAGTGCAGAAGCGCTGATGATCACAAGGCGGAAGTGCCTTGGTGAAAACATCAGCAGTGTTGGCCTCAGAGGCCACGTACGCAAGTCGCAACTGACCACGCTGCTGCAACTCACGAGCAAGAAAGTAGCGGAGAGCAATGTGCTTGGTTCTGTGCTCCAGGCGCTGCTCCCGACACAAGGCTAGCATGGCCTTGTTGTCTACGTACAGCACCGGAGGAGAACGAGGCGGCTCTCCGAGGTCAGTCAGCAGGTAGGTAAGCTAGCGAAGCTCCTGTGCACCCATGGCCCCGGCGTAGATCTCAGCCTCACAACTGGAGCCGAGAACAGAAGACGAGCGAGTAGCCCGCCACGAAACAAAGCCGGAACCAAGGCTGAAGGTGTAACCCTGTAACGACCGCTGCGTAGCCTGGTCGTCTGCCCAAGAAGCGACCGCGTGCCCAGTGAGGACCACTGGACTCCGCCCTCCAAGCACTAGCCCCATGCCCGACGTACTGCACAAGTAGCGCAACACCCTCTTCGCTGCAGCCATGTGCTCTGGTTTGTGTCTCCCAGGAGCAACATAGCGTGCAAGAATGCTAAGAGGGTATGCAAGGTCAGATCGAGTGCAGGTCATCAGGTACATGAGGCAGCCAACAAGCTCTGGGTACGGGCCACTCGACTCTACGGACTCATCCGAAGGCAGAGCTGAGAGCGAGTGGCGAGTAGACAGAGGAGTGGCCTGAGGCGAGGAGTACGTGAAGCCGAAGCGCTGAAGGACCTACCGCACCATGTGTGACTGAGTCAGGGTAATGGTGCAGCGTGCTCTGTCCCGGGTGATCTGCAAGCCAAGGTAGCTGCGCAGTTCACCCAGGTCTGTGCACGTGTGTCTCTTCTGCAGCTCAGACTTTACGTGGGCGAGTCCAGTAGTGTCAGCTGTGGCAAAGACCAAGTCGTCGATGTACACGAGGATGTAGAACGGCGGCAGAGAGGTGTCGATGCGTAGAGACAGCGATGGGTCAGCAGTAGAGGGAGCAAACCCAAGAGCCGCAAGTGTAGTCCTCAGTGTGTCGTGCCACTCGCGCGGTGCCTGGAGGAGACCGTAGACTGGCCGTCGGAGGCTCCACTGGGTGCCAGGAGGGAAAGTCCCAGTAAAGCCAGGTGGATGGCGCAGCCAGATCTCCTCGTGCAGGCTACCCTGCAGGAAAGCAGTGCTGAAGTCAAGTGAGTGAAGCTCGTAGTCACGCTGAGCGGCTACGTGTAGCAGCACCCGAAGAGTGGTCATCTTCGGGGTGGGAGAGAAGGTCTGAAAGTAGTCAACTCCCTGCCGCTGACTGAAGCCACGAGCCACGTACCGCGCCTTGAAGACAGGTGGAGAGCCCGGCGGCCGCTTCACCCTGAAGATCCACATGCCACTGACGATGTTCGCCCCAGGAGGGGGAACCGCGTCAACGTAGGTGCCTGTGGACTTCCAGGAAGCCATCTCTGCATCCATAGCTGCCTGCCACTGAGAGGAGTAGGGACCCTCTACGGCCTCCGCGTAAGAGCGTGGAATCGGGATGTCTAGTGCATCCGCGTCTCCCTCAGGGGTAAGCAGTACGGACGCGAGATGAGGTGAAGCTGCAGCAAGACACTGGAACTCCTCCTGCCTGTCCTCAAGGACGTCCGTGCCAAGAGCACACTCACCCCCGACGGACGGAGGACAGACAGACGCAGACTCAGCAACAAGACTAGCAGCGTAGTCTAGACGACAGCGAGCAGCAAAGTCGACGAGCTCAGGAACAAGAGCAGACGTAGCAGTGGACTCAAAGGAGGGGTCAGTGACGACAGTAGCAAGGAGACGCGTGAAAGTAGGACTGGCAGTACGAAGAGAGTCCGACTCAGGGTTGGCAAGCACAGGAAGAGAGGACTCAGGAGGAGAGGGCAAAAGGGCACGCAGAGGAGCAGTGGACGGACGCAGAGACATCCGGTGCGTGTCAGGGACAGGAGGAGGACGCTGACGCGAACTGCGACCACTAGTGTGAGCAGCACGAATAGGCGACGCAGGACGAGACGCAGGCTCACGACGCTCAGCAAGACCTCTAGTAGGACCAGTGTACGGAGAAGGAGAAGGCAGTGGGGAGACCGGTGGTAACTGCGACTGCGACTGGACAGGCGGTGGAAACTCTAAGGGAGGAGGAAGACCTAGAACCTGCTGAAGGAGCGGAACAAAGTACGGCCGAGGCCGCGCGGCGACTCCAGACACAGCAGGGAAAGCACCTGTACCCCCAGCGGCAACACCAGCGTTAACAGCACCTCCAGCTCCAGTACCTCCAGCAGCACCAGTAGCACCCGCAGCAGGACCGCCGCCAGGACTGGCAGCAGTAGCCTCAGCGCCAACACCCTCAGCAGCTCTGACTCCAGTAGCACTCGCAGGACTAGCACCTCTGAGACCGGCGGCACCAGCACCCTCAGCAGCCGAAGAAGCACCAGCTCCAGTAGTACACCTCCAGCGCCGGGCAAACCATTCGCGCAGCTCTTGTGGAGAGAGTGGCTCCCGCCGAAACGAAGCACCCGGAGAACCAGCAGGCCCAGCACCGCCAGACGCCACACGAGCAGGTCCAGCGGCCGCGGGCTCCGCACCCCCAGGCTCAGTAGCTCCAGACTCAGTACCCCTAAGCTCAGCAGCTCCAGACGCAGCACCCCCAGGCTCAGCACCCCAAGTCGTAGCACCCCCTGGCTCAGCACCCCTAGGCTCAGCACCCCCAGTCGCACCATCCCCAGACGCAGCACCCCCAGGCTCAGCACCCACGCGCGCAGCACCCCCAGAGTCAGCACCCCCAGGCTCAGCACCTGCAGCAGTACCAGAGTCACCAGCAACCTCGACCGGCTCAACATCATCTACCTAGGAGACACCTGAAGGGGCAGGACTCTGAGGGGGGAGGGGGTCTACCGGGGGGGGACCTGGCAGAAGGAAGTGCGGTGGCGGGGGGAGGGAAGGAGTGCGGTAGGGGAAGAGGCGGTAGTAGGGTACTGACTCGTCGAACGTGACTTCCTGGGACGACAGAACACGACGAGAGGTGGGGTGGTAGAACTGCCACCCAGGCGCGTCGGGGGGGAACCCCAGGAAGACACAGGGAGCAGCACGAGGGGACAGCTTGTCCGCAGACAAGTCGCGGACAAACGCCCGAGATCCCCAGACACGGAACGCAGGCGCATCGCCTACCTTCCTCGTCCACAGCAAGGCTGGGGAGGTCTCCGGTCTGGAGACCCTGGGGTGAAGGTTGATCTGATGCGCCGCGTACCGAACCGCAAACGGCCACAGAAAATGGGGGGCAGCCGCATGCATCATGGACGTACGAGCGACATCCATGACCATGCCAATGCGGCGCTCAGCAATCCCATTTCGCTGTGGAGAGTCTGGAAGCGTAAAGGACCGGCGGATGCCTCGCGCACGACAGTAGGCTCGCAGAAGGCCAGAGGAGAACTCTCGGCCTCGGTCAGAGTGCAGACGCAGAACAGGAAAGTCCGAGCCGAAGCTCCTCCTGAGCTGAAGACGAGCTGCGCGGATCCAGTCGATCTACACCTCAGCGACATCACCCTTGCTGCGCAAGGGGAAGACTGTGGTGTAACGCGAGTAGTCGTCAACCACCAGCAGGAAGTAGCGCTCGTGACCCTGTCCACGTACGCGGGCTGGGCCCCACACGTCCATGTGAAGCGTCTGCAGCGGGGCCTCTGTCAGGGGAAACTGAGAGGAGTGAGGGGCAGCTCGGAGCCGCCCCTCGACACAGGGGACACAGGAAGGACCAGGCCCCGGAGGAAGGGGAGGGAGGGACCGGGGAAGACCAGAGACAAGGACACGGGAAGCCATGCCTCGGAGACGAGGCAGGGAGGGGTGACCAAGACGGTGGTGCCAGAGAAGAGTCTCATGAGACAGGAGGCGACACGAGCAGGGGGCAGACTCAGGACCAGACGTGGACGCTGCAGCAAACACCTGACCCGACGCAGCTACCTAACAAGACGGAGTGACTGGAGGAGACTCAGTGGTCAGTGTGTACAGGCTCGACCCCGGCCGACGTGTAAACGTGGCTAGGTGTCGGCCTGTCCGAGCGTCCGTGCAGTGACTCGCAGGAGTGAACTGGTGAACCCCCGTATCCTGCAGGTCAGCACCACTCACCAAGTTTGTAGAGAACGAGGGGAGGTAAAGACCAGACAAGGTGCCAGAGGGGGCAGTCGGACACGAAAGGACAGTGGAGAAGTGAGAGAGGACAGGACCCCCAGAGGGGTCTACCAGGGAGACTGCAACTGGCCGACCCAGCGGCGTGAGTGTGGTGCGGTCTCGAAAGAAGGAGCAAGAAGCCTCTGAGTCAAGTGTGAAGGTGAGGGAGGCCGAAGACGACGTGGTACCTGAGAGCGCAGACTCACCAATACCTGATGGCGCGGACGCATTGGCACCTAGAGCAGCAGCCTCACCAGTACCTAGAGCAGCAGTACCAATGCCCCGATCGGGCGGGAAACACCGGTAACAGTCACCCTCATCACTAATAGTCACAGCATACATGGCAGCAAGGATAGCATCAAAGTCAAGATCAAAGATAGCTACGCCTGCCCTAGACATCTCTCCCCAACGGGGGATCTCACTAGCCTCCGGGAACTGCAGACGCCAAGCGTCCGTCAGGCGGCCAAAGCAGCGCTGGGTGGGGTGAGCACCCCCACACTGCTCACCCGCGCGGTCGCCGGAGCGGAGGACGTAGGTGCACGGGCCAAAACCCCCACCACGGTGACGCTGCGTGTACCACTCACGGAGCTGCTGAGGAGGGGGGATGTCCCAAGAACGCTGCTGGTGCTGCTGCTGCTGCTGCTGGCACTGACCACTCCCGGAGCCGCTCCGCTGAGAAGTACCACCCCGACCAGCTCCACCTCCTCCACCACCGCCGCCTCCACCTCCGCCGCCACCGCCGCCTCCGCTCCCACCGCTACCGCCACCGCCACCTCCGCCTCCGCCGCTGCCACCGCCACCTCCACCCCCGCCACCGCTCCCACCGCCACCCCCACTCCCCCCGCCGCCCCCACCGCCACCTCCACCACCCCCGCTAGCCCCACCCGCGCCCTTGCCCCCCTTGCCCTTGCCAGAGCGGCGTCTCCCGCTAGGGGCAGACGCCGCACCGACCGATCCAAGACCAACGAGGTCGGCCGCAGCGGCAGAGGCGACAGAGGGCAAAAGGGGGGAAGGGGAACACCCCTCAAAGATGGGGGTGCGAGGGTCACCACGAGAGGCTCCTACAGCGACTATGCTCTTCTCTGCTGCGAGGAGGGCCTTCTCTAGGAGGTCAACAGTGAGAGTGGTGGGACAGACTGAGAGGAAGTGGTCCCTGACTACGCGAAGGGAGTCAGGGAGGCGGGTGACTATATAATAGAGAGTGATGTACATGGGGGGGGGATTCTTGGCGCAGAACTCAGCAGGAAGTGTGGCGCGGTAGTGAGTGTCACTAGTGCGGAGGTGCGTAACGAGGTCAGCGACTGTGGGAAAGGCAGCAAGGTCAGGAAAGAGGTACGGTAGCATGAGGCGGCTCAGTGCAGCAGTGGCAGGGGAAGAGTAGCGCGCAACTACAGCGTCGTATAAGGTGTGAGCACTCTTGTACTGACTAAAGTGCGCGCGCTCAGAGGTAGGCAGGTGGCGACGCACAGCAAGACGTGCAGCAGCGTCGCGCGTGGCCCACTGGGAGCGAACAGTGGGGTCATCATCAGCAGCAGGGGCAGGAGAGGCGCCAGAGGTGAGGTCAAAGAGGGAGAGACCGTCTGCCCTATCGCACTGTAAGAAGAGCTGCAGGTCATCTACCCAAACCTCAAAGTCAATGGCTCGACCCTCAGCGTCAAAAGCGAGAACACTAGGGGAAGCCATGACAGCAGTAGACTAGTGAGACCAACTGTAGGACAGGGGCAGTGCAGTGACAGAAGCGCTGGTCTCACCAGACAGGGCAAGTCGGGCAGCTCAGTAGTGCAGTAACACGGCAACACGGCTGCTCGGACGGCTCAGTAGCGACTGCGGCTCCGCGGCACCGGCGACTCGGCTGATCAGGCGGCTCGGGCGGCTCGGGCGGCTCAGGCGGCTCGGGTGGCTCGGGCGGCTCGGGTGTCTCGGGCGGCTCGGGCGGTGTAGGGCGGCAGGGCCGCTGGTGCAGGGCTGCGGGTCCGCAGGAGTAGGGCGGCGGGGCTGCTGCAGAAGGGCGGCGAGGCCGTTGAGTAGGGCGGCGGGGCCGCGAGGTAGGGCGACAGGGCCGCGAGGTAGGGCGGCGGGGCCGCGAGGTAGGGCGGCAGGGCCGCGAGGTAGGGCGGCGGGGCCGCGAGGTAGGGCGGCGGGGCCGCGAGGTAGGGCGGCGGGGCCGCGAGGTAGGGCGACGGGGCCGCGAGGTAGGGCGACGGGGCCGCGAGGTAGGGCGGCGGGGCCGCGAGGTAGGAAGGTGGGGCCGCGAGGTAGGGCGGCGGGCCGCGAGGTAGGGCAGCGGGGCCGCGAGGTAGGGCGGTGGGGCTGCGAGGTAGGGCGGCGGGGCCGTGAGGTAGGGCGGCGGGGCCGCAAGGTTGGGCGGCGGGGCCGCGAGGTAGGGCGGCGGGGCCGCGAGGTAGGGCGGCGGGGCCGCGAGGTAGGGCGGCGGGGCCGCTTGGTAGGGCGGCGGGGCCGCGACGATGGGCGGCGGGACCGAAGCGACGGGTGGCGGGGCCGAGGCGACGCGCGGCGGGGCCGCTAGGGGAAAAGGGCCGCTAGGGCGGCTCGACGAGGTGAGAGCCGGAAGTGCGACTCGGGCGGAGCGCGCTTCGGGCAGGAAAAAAAAAGGTCGATGTGGTGGGCCCTAGGCACAGTTCCCACGGGGGAACCTGCTCAATACCATGAGAAGATGTGAACGAGAATGAATGACTAAGGAATGGAAGTGATACAAATATGCAACCCTAGAAATGTGTTCCCCATATAGGCTACCCCACTATAGCCTACACAATATTATAATTTGACATGTTGTTCTTGCCTTTCAGGTTAAGGTTCACTGCACCTCCCTTGGCCGGCCGGGAGAATTTAACGAAAAGGCTGCCGGAGGTCGCTTTCAGCCTGCTTTCCAAGATAGTCGTAACCTTGCTTGGAGAGGTCTTGGTGTAGGTCACCAGTTTGTATGCTGTGCCGGCGGACCCCCCGTTAATGCCCACAACCGCGTCCAATGGGCACATGCTCCCGCTCGAGGAGAAGCCAACGGAGAAGTAGCCCCCGCTGGCACCGCTGGTGGATCGGGCTTCGATCGCGGCGTTGAGGGTCGAACCAGAGACCATCCAGTGGAAAAGCAGCCTGAGGAAACCGGGGGTAGAGGCGAGAAAGCAGCATTAGTACGGAAAGACTGGTTGACAACGTCATGATTCATCCCCACGATGGAACGACGCCTGCCTAATGTCAAACCGTTGGAGTCGAAAGGATATCGCGTGCGAAATTACGACGGGAAACTTGAAAGCTGGTCAACGGTTTTTATGCCTCGTTTTTTCACATCTCGGACGTGAAACATGGGATGGCGACGGTGACTTACCCTTTTCCGGTGGGATCGACGGCCGCCTTGTATCCCAGCGACGACCTTTTGCAGGTTTTGCCCGCCGTGACCCCCTTGCTGCTGGTTAGGCCGGACGTGCCGGCCTCACCGCTCTTGTGGTGCCCGCCCTTGTGGTGTCCTCCAGTGCGCGTGCCATTTCGGTTATGGTGGCCAATTCCTTCGGGGTATTTGCGGGCGAAAACGGATGGTGCAACGAGGAGGACGATCATCAAGCATATGAGGAACGTGCGAGCCATGTTTGGCATCGGAGTCGAGAAGTCAACTTGAAGCGTGTGGGTCTGTTGCTGGTGGTGGGGGAGGCTAGAGCAGGGAATTGACGATTGTGAAATGGTGAAGAGAGGATGCTTACTCGAGAATTTGAACCAAGCGATGGATGTGCTTGCTTGGGAATTTGGTAGAATGCCTGGTCAATGTGCGGTCGCATCGGACTGCATGCCAAATTTGTGACGAGGCGTGAGGCGGTTCGTGTGTCTCCCTTTTCTGAACCAATGCATCTGGTGGCATGGCGTGATTTGAGCTGGGAAAACAAAGGCCACCGCATGCGAGTGTCGTTTAAATTTCGTCCATTTCGCGAAGATAGGTCTTTCTTCATTACGAAAATGGCCATTTTGCTAGAAGTTGTGTCTAGGGCGACTTCGAACTGCAGATCGAGTCGCTCGCTGACGAGTCGCTAAACCAGCAGAAACAGCCAATTGGGCGGGCATGTCGGTGGAAAGAGTCGAAGAAGCGCCAAACCAAATTTCATGCTGGAGTCGAAGGACCTGCTGCACCATGTGTGACTGAGTCAGGGTAATGGTGCGGCGTGCTCTGTCCCGGGTGATCTGCAAGCCAAGGTAGCTGCGCAGTTCACCCAGGTCAGTGCACGTGTGTCTCTTCTGCAGCTCGGACTTCACGTAGGCGAGTCCAGTAGTTTCAGCTGTGGCAAAGACCAAGTCGTCGACGTACACGAGGATGTAGAACGGCGGCAGAGAGGTGTCGGTGCGCAGAAACAGCGACGGGTCGGCAGTAGACGGAGCGAACCCAAGAGCCGCAAGCGTAGTCCTCAGTGTGTCGTGCCACTCACGTGGCGCCTGGCGGAGACCGTAGACTGGACGCCGGAGACTCCACTGGGTACCAGGAGGGAAAGACCCAGTGAAGCCAGGTGAACGGCGCAGCCAGATCTCCTCGTGCAGGCTGCCCTGCAGGAAAGCTGTGCTGAAGTCGAGAGAGTGCAGCTCGTAGTCCCGGTGAGCAGCAACGTACAGCAGTACCCAAAGAGTGGTCATCTTCGGGGTGGGGGAGAAGGTCTGAAAGTAGTCAACTCCCTGTCGCTGACTGAAGCCACGAGCCACATAACGCGCCTTGAAGAAAGGCGGAGAACCCGGCGGCCGCTTCACCCTGAAGATCCACATGCCACTGACGATGTTCGCCCCAGGAGGGGGGACAGCGTCAACGTAGGTGCCTGTAGGGGCGTGAAAGCCGAGGCGCCCTAGGGCGCAGGTAGGTAGGTAGGTAGTGGTGGGCCCTAAAAAATCGGTCCAAGGAAGGACCTGCTCTATACCATGCTGAACAAGAATGAATGAACTAAGAGTGAAATGAGTACAAGTATCAAAACCTAGGAATGTGTACCCCCTATAGGCTAACCCACTGTAGCCTAAACAACTACAACAACATATATAATGTTTGACACTGTCCACAAGCTCGACCACGCTTGGTCTAGACCAGACCCAAACTGACACGGGCGGTTTGGTTCGAAAGAAGAAGAATGGAAGAAGTTTCAGAGAGAGGAAGTATGAAAGAAGCTTCCGTTCGCAAGATCGCAATTTGCTCTCGTCATTTATGTACACTTTGGGTTTCCGTAAAACGCATAACCTTACAATATGAAAACCAATATCTATTGGCTCTTGTATAGTGGGCCTCTTACTCTTGACTCCACAAGGGGTGGTGTAGTGCATGTGCTTCTGTATGAAATTTGAAACTCTGTGATTTATTTCCAACCCCACGATGCATACCAGATTGTTCGCCAGTCCTTCACCCCTCCTTCACCCATTAACCACTCTTTGGCGCTCCCTTAGGTACCGTATTACCCCGGATAGTAGCGCATATGCGCTTACAATAAAATCGGTTTTTTTTGGTGGTGGTGCTTTTAATTGAGTATCAGCCATAATCGCCGGCGCTTATATAATGACAAATACAGAATTACAACTTAACACATTAAAATGTACATTTCCGTCTCGTAGGTTCAATCGAGTCGACATTCACTAGCGACCTAAATTTGAATCGCGTGAGGGCGAATCTCTGACGCTACACATAGCTTTTCGCACATCAATTTGCCCGCGTGCCACCGCATCCTGTCTAGACGCGATGTGGAAATTAGAACGAGAATAATGACTAAGGAATGAAAGTGATACAAATATGAAACCCTAGAATTGTGTACCCCTTAGTGTCTAACCCGCTACAGCCTACACAGGCTAGATCATATAAGTTTGACACACCCCCATAGGCAAAGTGGGGGAGAACAAGGGGTCACAAGACCAGTCAAGCAAAGCAAGGCAAAGCAAGGTCAGGGTGGATCAAAAACGTCACCACACATTCTGAGCACAAGTTCACATACATGATTACATATATATAACACTAAACAAGCAAGAGCAGGTATATACATATGTAATAGTACAAGCAAGGTCAAGAAGTGAGCAAGTGAGGCAAGGTAGGCACAAGACCTAACAGAGTACAGAAGCGCTGATGATCACAAGGCGCGAGTGCCTCGATGAAGATATCAGCAGTGTTGGCCTCAGAGGCCACGTAAGCAAGGCGCACCTGACCGCACTACAGCAGCTTACGAGCAAGGAAGTAGCGAAGAGCAATGTGCTTCGTTCTGTGCTCCAGTCTGTGCTCACGACACAAGGCCATCATGGCCTTGTTGTCTACGTACAGAACTGGGGGAGAACGAGGCGGCTCTCCAAGGTCAGTCAGCAGGTAGGTGAGCCAGCGAAGCTCCTGTGCAGCCATGGCCCCTGCGTAGATCTCAGCCTCACAACTGGAGCTGAGAACAGAAGACGAGTGGGTAGACTGCCACGAAACAGAGCCGGAACCAAGGCTAAAGGTGTAACCCTGTGACGACCGTTGCGTAGCCTGGTCGTCAGCCCAAGAAGCGTCTGCATGACCAGTGAGGACCACTGGACTCCGCCCTCCAAGCACAAGCCCCATGCCCAACGTACCGCACAAGTAGCGCAAGACCCTCTTCGCTGCAGCCATGTGCTCTGGTCTGTGTCTCCCAGGAGCAACATAGCGTGCCAGAATGCTAAGAGGGTATGCAAGGTCAGATCGAGTGCAGGTCATCAGGTACATGAGGCAGCCAACAAGCTCTTGGTACGGGCCACTCGACTCTACAGACTCATCCGAAGGCAGAGCTGAGAGCCAGTGGCGAGTAGACAGAGGAGTGGCCTGAGGCGAGGAGTACGTGAAGCTGAAGCGTTGAAGGACCTGCTGCACCATGTGTGACTGAGTCAGGGTAATGGTGCGCTGTGCTCTATCCCGGGTGATCTGCAAGCCAAGGTAGCTGCGCAGTTCACCTAGGTCTGTGCACGTGTGTCTCTTCTGCAGCTCGGACTTCACGTAGGCGAGTCCAGCAGTGTCCGCTGTGGCAAAGACCAAGTCGTCGACGTACACGAGGATGTAGAACGGCGGCAGAGAAGTGTCGGTGCGCAGAAACAGCGACGGGTCGGAAGTAGAAGGAGCAAACCCAAGAGCCGCAAGTGTAGTCCTCAGTGTGTTGTGCCACTCACGAGGTGCCTGGCGCAAACCGTAGACTGGCCGCCGGAGGCTCCACTGGGTGCCAGGAGGAAAAGTCCCAGTGAAGCCAGGTAGGCGGCGCAGCCAGATCTCCTCGTGCAGGCTGCCCTGCAAGAAAGCAGTGGTGAAGTCAAGAGAGTGAAGCTCGTAGTCTCTGTGAGCGGCTATGTCCAGCAGTACCCGAAGAGTGGTCATCTTCGGGGTGGGAGAGAAGGTCTGAAAGTAGTCAACTCCCTGCCGCTGTTTGAAGCCACGAGCCACGTAACGCGCCTTGAAGACAGGCGGAGAACCCGTCGGCCGCTTCACCCTGAAAATCCACATGCCACTGACGATGTTCGCCCCAGGCGAGGGAACCTCGTCAACATAGGTGCCTGTGGACTTCCAGGAAGCCATCTCTGCGTCTATGGCTGCCTGCCACTGAGAGGAGTAGGGACCCTCTATCGCCTCTGCGTAAGAGCGCGGAGTCGGGATGTCTGGTGCATCCAGGTCTCCCTCAGGGGCAAGTAGCATGGACACGAGATGAGGTGAAGCTGCCACAAGACAATGGAACTCCTCCTGCTTGTCCTCAAGGACGTCCATGCCAAGAGCACACTCACCCCCGACGGATGGAGGACAGACAGACTCAGACTCAGCAACCAGACTAGCAGTGTAGTCTAGACGACAGCGAGGAGGGAGGTCGACAAGTTCAGCAACTAGGGCAGACGCAGCAGTGGACTCAAAGGAAGGGTCAGTGACGACAGTAACAAGGAGACGCGTGATAGTAGGACTGGCAGCGCGAAAGGAGTCCGACTCCGTGTCACCAAGAGTAGGAAGAGAAGACTCAGGAGAAGAAGGCAAAGGGGCACGCAGAGGAGCAGTGGACGGACGCAGAGACATCCGGTGTGTGCCACGGACAGGGGAGGACGCTGACGTGAACTACGACCACCAGTGCGAGCAGCACGGACAGGCGACGCAGGGCGAGACGCAGGCTCACGACGCTCAACAAGACCTCCAGTAGGACCAGTGTAGGGAGAAGGAGCAGGAAGAGGAGAGGGAGGCTGTGACAGTGACTCCGACTGGACAGTCGGTGGACACTCTAAGGGAGGAGTCAGAGCATAGGGCGGAAGACCAAGAACCTGCTCAAGGAGCGGAACCAAGTACGGGCGCGGCCGCTTAGCACCACCAGCACCAGAAAGGACAGCCCCTGCGCCAGTAGCACCCCCAGCTCCAGTAGCGCCAACTCCAGCACCCTCAGCAGCACCAGCACCAGAAACACCCTCAGTGCCAGCACCCCCAGTTGCTCCAGCTTCAGCTCCAGCAACGCCAGCAGCTGCAGCAGGTCAAACGAGCTCCAGCACCAGAAGCACCCGCAGGCCTAACAGCTCCAGTACTCTCTGTACGAGCACTTTCGGGACCCGAGGCCCCAACACCCTCAGCATCAGCAGAACCTCCAGCGCCTGCAGCACCTCCAGCTCCAGCAGCACGCGTACAGCACCGAGCAAACCACTCACGCAGCTCCTGTGGAGAGAGCAGCTCCCGCCAGGACGAAGCACCCGAAGAATCTCCAGGCCCAGTACCACCAGACGCCACACGAGCAGGTCCAGTACCCTCAGACTCCGCACCCCCAGACGCAGCACCCCAAGGCTCAGCACCCCTAAGCGCAGCACCCCCAGGCTCACCACCCCTAGGCTCAGCACCCCCAGGCAAAAGCACCCCTAGGCTCAGCACCCCCAGGATCAGCACCCCCAGACCCTGCACCCGCAAGCTGAGCACCCCTAGCAGCACCAGAGTCAACAACTACCTCGACAGGCTCGACTGCGTCTACCTGAGACACACCTGAGGGGGCAGGACCCTCAGGGGGGAGGGGGTCTACCGGAGGGGGACCTTGCGTAAGGAAGAACGGCGCGGGGGGGAGGGACGCAGTGCGGTAGGGGAAGAGACGGTAGTAGGGAGCCGACTCGTCAAACGTGACGTCCTGGGAGGATAGAACACTGCGCGAGGTGGGGTGGTAGAGCTGCCAGCCTGGCGCGTCAGGGGGGAAGCCAAGGAAGACGCAGGGAGCAGCACGAGGGGACAGCTTGTCCGTGGACAAGTCGCGGACAAACGCCCGAGATCCCCAGACACGGAACGCAGACGCATCGCCAACCTTCCTCGTCCACAACAAAGTAGGGGAGGTCTTCTGCATGGAGACCCGGGGCTGAAGGTTGATATGATGCGCCGCGTACCGAACCGCAAACGGCCACAGAAAATGGGGGGGCAGCCGCATGGACCATGGACGTACGAGCGACGTCCATGACCATGCCAATGCAGCGCTGAGCAATCCCATTTTGCTGTGGAGATTCCGAAAGCGGGAAAGTGTGGCGGATGCCTCGTGCACGACAGAAGGTCAGAGGAGAAACTCTCCGCCTCTGTCGAAGTGCAGACGCAGAACAGGAAAGTCCGAGTCGAAACTCTCTCTGAGCTGGAGACGAGCTGCGCGGATCCAGTCGATCAACACCTCAGTGACCGCACCCTTGCAGCGCAAGGGGAAGACTGTGGTGTAACGCGAGTAGTCGTCAACCACCAGCAGGAAGTAACGCTCGTGACCCTGTCCACGGACGCGGGCTTGGCCCCACACGTCCATGTGAAGCGTCTGCAGTGGAGCCTCTGTCGGAGGAAACTCTGAAGAGTGAGGAGCAGCGCGCTGCCGCCCATCGACGCAGGGAACGCAGGTGGGGGTAGGCCCCGGAGGAAGGGGAGGGAGGGACCAGGGGAGACCAGAGACAAGGACACGGGAAGCCATGCCTCGAAGACGAGGCAGGGAGGGGTGACCAAGGGGGTGGTGCGAGAGGAGAGTCTGGTGAGACAGGAGACAACACGAGCAGGGGGCAGACTCAGGACCAGACCTGGACGCCGCAGCAAACACCTGACCCGACGCGGCTACCTGAGCAGACTCAGCCACAGGAGGAGACTCAGTAGTCAGTGTGTACAGGCTCGACCCCGGCCGACGGGTAAACGTGGCCAAGTGATGGCCCGTCCGAGCACAAGTACAGTGGGTCACTCGCTGACTCGCAGGAGTGAACTGGTGGACCCCTGCATCCTGGAGGTCAGCTCCACTCACCAAGTTCGTAGAGAACGAGGGGAGGTAAAGACCTGACAGGGTGCCAAAAGGGGCCGCCGGACACGGTAGGACAATAGAGAAGTGGACAAGGTCTGGACCCCTAGAGGGGTCTACCAGGGAGACTGCCACTGGCCGACTAAGCGGCGTGAGTGTGGTGCGGTCTCGAAAGAAGGAGCGGGAAGCACCCGAGTGAAGGGTGAAGATGTGGGTGGCCAGAGCCGATGCGGTACCTGAGAGCGCAGACTCACTAGCACCTGGGTCAGCAAACTCACAGGCACCTAGAGCAGTAGCCTCACCAGCACCTAGAGCAGCAGCCTCAATGTCCAGGTCAGGCGGGAAAACACCGGTAACAGTCACCCGCATCATTAATAGTCACAGCATACATGGCAGCAAGAATAGCATCATAGTCAAGATCAAAGATCGCAACACCCACCCTAAACAGCTCGCCCCAGCGAGGGATCTCAGTAGCGTCGGGGAACTGGTGGCGCCAAGCGTCTGTAAGACGGCCGAAGCAGCGCTGGATGGAGTGCGGACCCCCACACTGCTCACCCGCGCAGTCGCCGGTAAAGAGAACGTAGGTACAAGGGCCAGCACCCCACCCCGCTGACGAGCAGTGTACCATTCACGAAGCTGCTGGGGGGAAGGGGTCTCACGAGTGCGCTGCTGCTGCTGCTGCTCGCGCTGACCACCACCAAAGCCAACCCTCTGTGTAGAGCCGCCCCGACCAGCTCCACCTTCGCCGCCGCTACCTCCACTCACCGCCTCCACCTCCGCCACGTCCACCCGCACCGCCACCACCGCCTCCTCCTCCGCCTCCACTGCCGCTAATAGCGCCCCCACCCCCGCCACCACTCCCACCACGACCGCCACCCCCCTCCGCCGCCTCCACCGCCGCCTCCACCGCCCCCATCAGCTCCTCCAAGCGCCCTTGCCCCCCGTTGCCCTTGCCTGAGCGGCGTCTCCCGCAGGGGTAGACGCCGCGCCGACCGACTCAAGACCAACGAGGTCGGCCGCAGCAGCAGAGGCAACAGAGGGCAAGAGGGGGGAGGGGGAGCACCCCTCAAAGACAGGGGTACGAGGGTCACCACGAGAGGCTCCTACAGCGACTATGCCCTTCTCTTCTGCTAGGTGGCGCTCCTCGAGAAGGTCAACGGTGAAAGTGGTGGGGCAAACAGAGAGAAAGTGGTCCCTGACCAAGCGAAGGGTGTCAGGGAGCCGGGTGACTAAGTAGTAGAGGGTGATGTACATAGGGGGGGGTTCTTGGCGCAGAACTCAGCAGGAAGCACAGCGCGGTAGCGAATGTCACTAGTGCGAAGGTGTGTAATGAGATCAGCGGCTGTGGGAAAAGCGGCGAGGTCAGGAAGAGGTATGGTAGTATGAGGCGGCTAAGAGCAACAGTGGCAGGGGAAGAGTAGCGTGCAACTACAGCTGTCGTACAAGGTCTTAGCAACTCTTATACTGACTAAAATGCGCGCGCTCAGCGGTCGGTAAGTGGCGGCGCACAGCAAGGCAGGTAGCAGCATCGCGCGTGGCCCACTGTGAGCGAACAGTGGCGTCAGCATCAGCAGGAGGGGCAGGAGAGGCACCCAGAAGTGAGGTCTAAGAGGGAGCGACCGTCTGCCCTATCGCACTATAGGAAAAGTTGCAGATCATCTACCCAGACCTCAAAGTCAACAGCCCGACCTCAGCGTCAAAGGTGAGATCAC